CCTGCACTAAATGAATGGTTGTAAGTCAAGCACTACCTGTAATTGTCTCCTTAAATTAAATTCAGCTGATAATCAACTATGTTAAAAATTGTTTCTAAGTTTCCTATAGTCCTGTTATTTCCACGACTGCATTCAGTGTGATGAGCTTTCACTGTTCTCATCCCATCTGGTGAGATCTCATGTGAAAATACTGAAATCTTATTAAGGTTTACTTATTTATTTAGCAGCATTTTAGTTACCCAACCTCTAATGGCACTTTTTAAAAATTAAACCATTAAATTTGCAGAGCTATTTAGGGAGATGGTGATTCCCTTAAACCTGTGGCTCTCATTTTATTGACTCCTACTGTGTTTTTAATCTGTTTAAGAATGCTCAGTAGATTGCACAAAATTGCGAGCCATACAGCTGTTTTGCTTACACGTGGGTATACAATATGGTTTATTATTTAATTAATACATGGGACAGATGCAGGTATTACAGATATAGAAAATTGAAGTGAGCAACCTACTACAAGATGTATTTATTATTATTGTTTATGTCCCCCAGCTAGCAATAAGGAAACAAAATTGAACAAAAGATAATAAAGGACTAAAAAACTGTTAACTAATGAAAGCCCTGGCTAAAAGGGAATGATTTGGCTTTTTTTCTAAAAAGAGAGAGTGGAAGCTAAGCATAACCCACCATTCCAATCTCTTTCCTTGCGAGCAAAAGTGAGAAAACACTTTCATGGGATCAAGATTTCCTACCAGAGAGAAGATGTGATTTGAAGGTTTGAATGATCTTGTCCGACCTGTTCCAGTGGTGGGATTCACACGATTTGTAGCTAATTTTTTGTTGCCCAATCCCAGAACGGACTTCCAGAAGTGGCATCCACACAGAGAACTGGTTGTTCACATATTTGAATCCCACCACTGACCTGTTCCAGCTTAGGCATCTAGGAAAGAAAGACTCTCAACTCCATTTGTAGTGAAAGGCAGGGCTTTTTTGTCATAGAATGCCCAGAACTGAGTTCCAGCACCTTTTTTGGATGGAACCTTGTAGGATAGGGGCAAGGCAGGTTGTATGACGTGTGTGAGTTCCGGCACTTTTTTTTTTTTTTTTACAAAAAAAGCACTAGTGAAAGGTATACTTTTACTGATGATAAGTGGTTACAGCACAGTAAAAACAGGTCTGAGGAATTCCTGTGAAAATCCAGTAATTTTCTCTTCTCTCAGGCTCTCCCCCCTTCATCATCTTGGTGATGTCCAATAAGGTTCAAACTAGGTGTTTTGGTAAAATGTCCACATTTTGGCGCCTCTTTGGTGGGTGTTCATATTCCTTTCCCAGTATGGGGTCCTTGGATCTCTCATCTGTTGTCTACGGTTGGCACCTCTGGTTATCCCCCCTCCCTATGTCCTCCCATTACTCCCTCCCCCAAAGTTTATGGCAGGCTGACATCAAAGCAAAGTGAAGCTGAAGTGGTTTGATGGCAGATCTGACAAGTCTTCCTTAATCAAAACAAACAAGCAACCCATCAACAGTCAATCAGATAAAAATGAAGTGGTGGTGAAGATTCCAATCCTTTGTTTCCCAACCTTAGCACCTTTTCAAATGTGTGGACTTCAACTCCCAGAAATCCACATGCTGGCTGGGAATATCTGGGAATTGAATTAGGCACCCATCTTAAAGTTGTTAAGTTGCTAAGATGGAGAAACTCTGTTCTAACCCAGTGTTTCCCAAACTTGACAATTTTAAGGCATGTGGACTTCAACTCCCAGAATTCCACAGCCAGCGTCGCTGGCTGTGGAATTGTGGGAGTTGAAGTCCTCATGCCTTAAAATTGTCAAGTTTGGGAAACACTGTTCTAACCTGTTGTGTTAGTTTTGGGGATATATCTGGAGAGCTGCTATTTTAAAAATGAACAGTCAATCATATGAGCCGGAAGATCCAAGCTTTTAATCTCATTGAGCTCAAGTTGTAAAGGACAACCACATTTTTGTCTTTAGTTTAATATTTCCTTTCCGCTCCCTGGAATTCTTTTAAATTGATGGCTTTCATCTGACCTACTTTTCTGGCTCTCATGTGTTCTTTCCACCTACAGTTTTTCCATCTGCCAGGCATTTTCAGATCAGAAGAGCTTCTAAAATATTGTTAAATGCCAGGTAGTTTTGCGCAAATAGTCTGGATCTACTTTTAAATGGATGATATTTTGTTATTTTAAGGAACGAACATCAATCACAAAGGGCTTCTTTTATTCTTAAAGTAGAAGTGCCCTCAATAAAAAAGGAAATAGCCAAATTGCTCCAAATTAAAAATATCTAATGGCCTTGAGAAGATCATCATGCATTTCAGAATATGGCACCTGATGTAGAACTTGACAGCACTAAAAAAGAATAGTTGATATATGCAGCATTAACCATAATAATGGTTAATAAAGGTTTCAGATTCTAATGATTTTAGGATAAATACCCCAAAGGTTAAAGCTGTGTGACAATGAACCAGCAAATAGATTCTCTGTTGATAAAAGGGAAATTTCATGATTCTGACTCTGATCAGGAGAGTAGATAAGTTCCAAAGTCTTTTCCAAATTTAAAATTCATGATCAAATAGCTGGCATCATTTGCCAACAACCACCTTCAGAGAAATTAGATGGTTCTGAAATGACTATGAGAAAAAAAAGGCACTGGAAACAATGAATGTTTGATTTTAAGCAGAGGATTGTTTTCATAGACCAGACCAAAAATCATTCTAGTAGACTTTATTCTAGGGCTAGTTTGTCTTTTAGTGCTGCTCTGGCCAAATGCTCTGATGGACCTTTTTCTATTGCACTTGCTTTCCCTCAGCCACTTATCAGTAGCATTGTCAGATAAATTTGGAAGTCCGTATAGAGATTTTTACTATGTCCTCGGTATTGCTTTCCTGACTTGATTCACCTTCATATATATTTGTCATAGGGTTTCTTGGTTTTGGTTTAGCAGTAGCAGTAGCAATAGCACTTATATGTTACTTCATAGTGCTTTACAGCCTTCTCTAAGCAGTTTACAGAATCAGCATATTGCCCCCAACAATCTGGGTCCCCATTTTACCAACCTAGGAAGAATGGAAGGCTGAGTCAACCTTGAGCCCATCATCATCAAGCTGCTGGCAGTCAGCAGAATTAGCCTGCAATACTGCATTTTAACCACTGCTCCACCACAGCTTTTTTACAAGCTGTACCAACCTAAGCATTATGGAAACCATGATGTATGACTTAACATGTATGGTGTGAACCCATTTTATGCAGTAAACAAGGACTAACAAACCCAGTCAGTGTGGGATCAGACATGCTCTTTACTGCACCAGTGTTTTGGATTAAAAACAATGAGTAGAAATTGTAAGGAAGCAGATTGTGGTTGGTTTATGATAATATAAGAGGTGATAATTTTTCAAGTGAAGTATAGGCTTGCTGTGGGAAACTATCTTATCTCGCCTCCTTTGATCAAGAGATTGGATGAAATTACCTCCAAAATGCTGCCAGTTCCAGGATTCAAATTAAAATAATTTCCAAATCCATAGGTTTATCAAGGAGGAAAGTATACTCATCAGGAACAGTGTAGGGTTGTTAAAAGGCTTTAATGTTATCTAAATCTGTTCATTCTATTCCAAGGTTTACTGCCATGGTAGTTCCTGATTTGCAATAATCTACCAAAAGTGGCAAAGCCAACCAGATTAGCACATGATGGCATGCAACCTTGATCCCTTGTTACTATTTACTAAAAGGTAGTCTCCATCCGGTGGTGGGATTCAAATATGTGAACAACTGGTTCTGTGTGGATGCTGCTTCCATAAATCCATTCTGGGCCTGGGCAACAAAAAATTAGCTACTGGTTCTGCCGAAGTGGTGCGAACCAGCTGAATCCCACCACTGCCTCCATCCAAGCAGAAGCAGAGAATAAGTAACAACATTTCTGCTTCTCATTCATCACCTAGCCAACCTCAACTATTATTCTGCAGGCAGCATTGCCTGATACTCAACATCTACACTGGAAGCATATACAGACAAGATAGCTTTTGATTCTTGTTCTTCTGATCATTTTATGGGTTTCATTTGCTGGGGTCAAATTCAGCTGGTCTTTGTAGATATTCAGGTAATCAAACAAAAAGAGACATTTCTTTTATCTGGGAAAGAGGCTTTGCCAACTTTAGAAGAATTTCATTAAAATACAGCATATTATTCATCCGCTGTCTCTCTCTCACACACACACATCTACACATACTCGCATAGAGGGTTACCGTGGCAACCATAAAATCCTATAGGCAGCAAACTTTTCGGCTATGGGAGGGCAGGTTTTCAAGAAGGCACATGAACCCAATAGCATGGCTGAAAACAATCTTGAACCATGAATAGTTTGGTTGACGTTTGCCTAAAAGGTGTGGTGATAAGGGAAAGATTCACGTAACAAAGACAGCATTGCTCACTTCTCATGGATAAATGTTTGTATTTCATATTTTCCAAAAGCACTCAGCTAAAAAGAAAAAGCAATAAAAGGACAACTCAATCGCACCATATAGTAAATAATTAATTGATGAGATCTTCCAACATGTCTGTGGCAAAATACATTTTATTTTCTGCATATATTTTGCCTAGGGGAATGCTTGCTATGTGGTTACTAAGTTTGCAAACTCTTGTGTCCAGAAAATGTGTTAAAGTAGAATATGGCCAAGGCGGAATATATTTCTATTCTGCCTTATAAAATATTAAACTGATATTTCCTAACAATGAAACTTTTATGATAAGCTTAGTTGTGTACTTGCATAAATCATGTTAACTGAACATGCATTTAAGAAGAACCCTTATGGAAGAACCCTGATGGGCCATTAACACTATAATTTGTGATTTCTACTGTTAATGTTAATGTTTCCAAACGTACTGGTTACAAACAGCAGTAAAGGCACTAATGCTCCCTAGTTCTCCAGCAACTGATATTCATTTATATTCTCCCTTTGAAGGAGATTAATGCTATGAAAAGGTCATTATGAATGCGCTGTTGGCTAGCATGATTAAAAACTATTGATAAACTTTTCTATCAACATTTATCTTATATTACAAAAGCTATTAAATATCCAGTGCACATTATCATTTTACCCGCTGTCATTTCACATGCTGCTTTTCAGCTAAGGATTTAAGGCTTTTTAAACTATGGTAAGCCTTCAAAATATTGTTTGGAAGAGAAGTGGAGATATGAAGGGCTGATGGTAGACTCCAAGACAAGCTGGTGCCCTGATTTGTTCCAACATTAGTTATATAGGTAATCCTTGATTTATGACTGGTCACTTTGAAATTCTGATATCCAGATCTCCTCTGTGGTCATGTGACCACATTTTGAGTGATTAGCAACCTCCCACATTTACAATCCTTTCAGCATCCCATAATTGTGATTTGTGTTTTTTTTCCTCCTTTGGAAACCAGTCTTCACTTCTAGGTTCTGGGAAAAAATACCATTAGTGAAAAATAGGTCCACTTAATAGCCTCTTTGTTTAATGATTGCCACAAAAGAGGTGATAAAATCAGATGGGGGTCACATGGTGACCTGCTTTGCGACTGTCATGACTTATAACTGAAATTGTCAGCTCAAATATGATCATAAGTAGAGAACTACCTGTGTTTCCATTCACAGCAGTCAACCTGTACAGTTATTAATGTGTGAAGCTACCTTAGGAAGAAAATGTTGGGATGGGAAGTACTAGTTAGTCAAAGCCAAGTTAGCAGCTCCTCTTTGAACAGTCAATGCATTTTATTTATTCCAGTTGGCCATCTTTATTTACAGATACAAGTTAGTAAAACCTATCACAAAACAGTAATATTCCACAGTTAATATTTATAGGTGCATAGTTCATGCTCAGCTACTTTATATATATATATATATATGTATATATGTATAGAAGTATATTAACAACTTTCACAACAGGGTCATTCTCAGACAGCAAAGAATGACCACAGAAAACATTTTAGAAACTTCCATACCATAAACAATACTAAATTACCAATGATCTATCAACAAAACATTTACAGCTTTCTAAATAAGGAGTAGACACTTAGGTGTTCTTTAAATTGTTTTTCGGTGTTTAGAACTTGAAGCCACAATACCCAAACAACAACAATGGCTCTTGGACCCAGCCTCCATTTCAGGAGGAGATTGGTCACAGACATGGAAACTGAACATAATTGTAGATGCTCCGTTCACTGTTGATGGAAAACTCCAAGACACTATAAAAACTATAAAAAGTAGTTTACACATTGGAACTCAGCACTTGTACAAGACAAGATGTTTTCATTGACTGGTAGCAAGAGATAGAAAGAAGGAGAGGAGATTCAAGCTTCTGGTTCATAATCCTGGTATTCTTCCTGTTGGGACAGAAAGAAGGAGAAATTCAAAGCTCAATTCAGAATAAAATGTAGTTGTCATTAAATGGTATTGTCAGATTTGAGATAGATAAAAGATTGCAAGAAAAAGAGATCTGTAAAAACAGACCTCTTCTCTGTTGGTCTCAGACCGGTGGAATAAAAGGTAATGTGGACTTGTTTCTGTTTAGTCTTTAGTCCGAGATATCTTTTCATCCCTTGAACTCTGTAGAGCCTTTAGACAGTGTTTCTCAACCTTGACAATTTTAAGTCATGTGGACTTCAATTCCCAGAATTCCACAGCCAGCAATGCCTTTAGAACATGGAATTATCTTGCTAAGAAAAATCTCTGGTGAAAAACCAAAAAAACCTAGAACAATGCTTTGTCTTTGTTCCCTAATGAATAGTTTCAGGATTTAGTTGGGTACTTAAGCTATTGCCTGCAAAAAGGGGCTGATATATTCAGGAAATATAATTCCTTGTGAATCTGAGATAGGCCAAGTTTCCTACAAGATTTGTAAGCTGTGGAGAATAGGATATGTAGGTGGACACATCTGAGGGACAGTTAGGAGAGATTGAAACAGGGCTCCTTTCTTTTAATGTGTGTGTGTATGTGTAGTACATCATGCATACTAAGGATCTTGGAATGAGAAAATCTGTCCTAGTTGTGCCTTCTGCTAGGAATGCAATAAACTAGATTCAGGTTCTTACTCTTTTCCCTGGAATTCTTTTTGGCTTTCTCATTTCTTTGAGATAGTCTAGAAGGGGAAGGTAGATTAAAAAAAAAATGGAGCTTAGTAGATAATATGGTATCTCCACCCCATAGTCAGTGATCCATACTTTGAAGAGGAAATGCTTGTTCCTATTCTTGGCTATGGCAATGCATTCTACATGGGCCTGCCCTTGAAGACCAACCAGAAGCTTCAGCTGCTCCAGAATGAAGTACCATTGGGCAGTCATGGTATGCACATGTAATACCACTACTTTGCAAGCTGCACTGATTGCCTGTTGGCTTCTGGGTATGATTCAAGATGTGGGTCATTGCCTATAAAGCATTACATGGCATGGAGCCTAGTTACTTTGCAGACTGCCTATCTCCCATAGTATTCTCCAAGGCACCTGAGGGTAGGACAAGAGGCAAGGAGAGAAACAACCTAGAACTAAGGAGAAATTTCCTGACAGTTAGAACAATTAATCAGTGGAACAACTTGCCTCCAGAAGTTGTGGATGCTCCAACACTAGAAGTTTTTAAAAAGAGATTCTGGATAACCATTTGTCTGAAATGGTATAGGGTTTCCTGCTGGAGCATGGGGTTGGACTAGAAGATCTCCAAGATCCCTTCCAGCTTCTATTCTATTCTATTCTATTCTATTCTATTCTATTCTATTCTATTCTATTCTATTCTATTCTATTCTATTCTATTCTACTCTACCCTCCCTATTCTCCTGATTGGTTTTATCCCACAAGACTGTTGTGTTTAGGTTCCTTTGATTAAACAATGCCATCTTGTAGGACCTCAGAAATGTGGCTTTTCTGCTGTAATGTCTGCCTTCTGGAATAAGCCCCTTACTCCCCGATTCATATGCCTCTGTCACTTATTCAGAAGAGGAAAAAGATAAATGCCTTCGTGCATCATAAATATACACTCCTGGATGGTGCTTGTCCTTTGGAAAATGCTGTAATGATCTCATTCACAATCTTAAAACCTCTCATTTTGTATTTGGAGGCAGGATATTGCCGTGAGAAAGAAGAGGTGAAAATGTTTTGTCGAAATCTATAATTTGAAACAGCTTTGAGATGTGGCATAATTAGGTTTTTAGGATTGCATATATATTTCTACATTTAATGTTTTAGAAATTGTGTTGTGGAGGGTTTTGTGATCAAAATGATGCATAAAGCTGAGACAAGATTCTTAAACCATTATTGGATTTCAATTTCCTGTCAGCCCCATTCAGAATACTCAATGGCCCAAATGAAGGGATTGTAATTCAACAACTTCTAAAGTATTTTGTCTACTGGCTCTACCATAATGACGTTTTTCATATAGCTGCATAATTTTTGTTGTCGCCAGAATGAGTGTAGTAAAGATGTTTCCAAAATATTTAGTTTATTCCCCCCCCCCTTTTTTACAGAAAGCCTACTTGCATTCCTAAAATGTTCAGTAATAGAACCTCAGAATAATGCACAGAAAATAAAAATAAATCCATTCATCTCTTGCTCCTATTTCTCTACTCACTTATCTTTTGATGCAAATAGAAATTTTGACAGCAAGAAATAGATTATTTTTGATCATAACTGTCATTATGGCAATTTATGAGATTCCAGAGATTAGAATTTTACTACTTTTATCAAAGCTCCACTTGCTTTTCCTCAGAGTTCTGGAAATGTTTCTCCTGAACATCCATCTCAAAATTTCTTGAGGGTGAATTCACCATCTCAGGCTTTACCAGCTTGTTCCCTATAAGTAAGTGCCAGATAGGTTTATTCCCAATGTATTCCTCAACTTACAAAGAGTTCATTTAGTGACTGTTTGAAGTTACAATGGCATTGAAAAAAGTGATTTATGACCATTTTTCATACCTACAACTGTTGCAGTATCCCCATGGTTACATGATCAAAATTCAGACTCTTGGGAACTGACTCACATTTATGACTGTTGTAGTGTTCAGGGTCATATGATCACCTTTTGTGACTTTTTAACAAGCAAAGTCAATGGGAAAACCGGATTCACTTAACAGCCGTGTCACTAATTTAACAACTGCAGTGATTCATTTAACAACTGTGGCAAGAAAGGTGGTAAAATGGAGCAAAATTCACTTAACCAATGTCTCACTTAGCAACAAAAATGTTGGGCTCAATTGTTGTCATAAGTCGAGGACTACCTGTATTTCAAACAGAAACGGACAGTGCCACATCTTCTAGTTAGGCAACCACTATTGGAATACTCTGTGAGAAGATGTCAGAAATAGATTTACCTCAGGAGGCATTTCATAAGCCTCATTTTCTGGGTCTGCTGCATCTGTGTTATCCACATTTCCTTTCTGTGTAAGTCCTTCTTCATTCTATGATTAAAATAAAACATAGATATGTAAAAAAGATATTTCTTCCCATTGCCTCATTTCCATACAATGTTTTGCCATTTAGCTTGGCAAATGGAGTATTGAACATAAGTGTTATGTATTTGCCACATAGAATAGGAAACACTAAACATTCCCAAACATGGGAAACAAGTTTTTCCCCCCAAAATTTCAACTTTGAGTAGAAGGCTCATAAGTATTTACTGAAATTCTAAGAAGACTAAAGCGTTGATTGCATCATAGGCTTTCTGTGCATCCATTAAAAATGATAAATTGCCAAGAAATCTTGGTGGTTTGATGATACACACAGTCTAACGATGTAATTCCATTATGAAAGTAAAAACCATTGCCTTAATGGGACCCAGACTCTGGCTGTTTTTCATAGAAATCCAATTTATGATATTCATTTATTATTTTAGTTACAATATTGAATTTGTTTTTGTCTTAAGTCATAAATCTGGAACCTCCTTATAGAAGTATGGATTTCTGGTAATGTATAACACTTCTTAGAGTGTTATACCCAGAGTCGGGCTGAGCAATGAATTAGAACTGAAATCTTATCTTATCCATTTTCCAAATAAAATTGATTAATGACTTCTTATTTTGATATAACACATTTCTGTAAAATGTTTGTATGCTTCACAACCTAACAAGTATCACATACTTTGTAAGAAACTCTTGATTTGCAAATGTAGTATGCTAGTGACTACTATAGGGGAGACTACTATAGCCTTTTCTAAAAAGGTTAAACTTTTAGCTCTTTTAAGATTTTTATCTGGGTGGGATGTTCTAAAACTAGACTTGTCTGGGAAATTCCAGACATGGGATAACCCTTCTTATTACAGCCTCACAATAGTGTTATATTTCTTAAGAATCTATGGCAGCAAAAAGTTAATATCACATTGGTTTAAATAAGTTGTTCCATGAAAGAGGAAATGCTATTTTTTCAGTCATGAGATCAGAACTAGCATATTTTTTCCTGAGAACTTTATAGAAAGCTCTCTATTTTCCTTGCAGAGTTTATAATAATGTCCTACCTCCAGTTGTGGCTTCCAGGTATGCATTGAAATATTTAACACCTTGATGCAGCTGCATGTTCAGACCTTACTTAATGAGGCCATTTCATCACATCTTCCAATAGGGACAAATTAAATGCTCAGTTGTGCTTGAGTGTCATGCATCAGATTCTAACTGCCTCAGATTCTAATTTAGCTTCCAGTTCAGCGTTTACTTTTAAGAGAGAGAGGTCTGGCTTCCGGTTCCGGTGTGGTGCAGTCGAGTGAAGGGAATTGTCCCTTTGCCGGCCGAGTTTCCTCTGTTGGTAGACCCCTGAGAGGGTCGAAAAGTCGCTCTGGAGGAGTGACCACCAGTGAGGAGGCTTCTCAGATGGTTGCAGAGGGGCAGCGGCGCCCTCTGTACTCCGAGTATCTCCTTTGGGCCGACAGGGTAAAGATCAGCCAGTAAAATGGCCGATCATTTAGCTGTGCCAACTGTAAGCCACAAGGTCACCTAAGCAAACAGACCCACTGTGGAAGATTTGGTGAGACTTTTTTTTAACCTCTTATTTTCTTTTTTTCCCTGTGGAAAGCTTTTGGGGGGGGGAACTATTTCCCTTTTTTGATGAAGCGGCGTTTTAAATGGGGGAAGAGAAGCTTAAATTTTATTTTTGTTCTAATGGTTGATTTTATTTTTGGATATCGGGGAGCCTCAAGAAAGTTTCTTATAGAGATTTAACACGCCACATTCTTGGAGAATATTGTTTTCTTTTATTTTTTATGGTGTCCAGAAAGACTGAATATTTGATTAACTTTGATTATTTTCCGGGGGATATTTTTTGGTGAAACTACTTATTGTATTTGCCATTCTCTTCGTTTGGAATTTGTCTTTGGCTTTCATTTAATACAAAGGAGAAAGACTAAGAAACTGGGAGGAGATGGATATTGATTGATTGCTTTTGAATATAGTCTCCCCTAAAAGGATAATGATTGCAAATATGATAAAAATGGAGGAAACCTCCTTAATGCTTACGTATAAGTACATTTTGGACAAAATTCTGGAAAATACGGAGAAGATAATTGGTTGCACAAAGGAGATTTCTTTATATTGGCAAGGTAAAAGATACTAATGGACAAATGACTTATAATAAGGAAATGGAGGATTTTACCTTAGAAGGACAAGCCGATTTGCGGACACCACTTGACTCTTTGATACAGAAACATTTTTTGGAAGAAGAGCAAAACTTGACTAAAGAGGACGATATTAAAAAAAGGATTTTAACTAAACTTTATGCAATCAAAAAAAAGATGGGAAATGATGTTCTGCCACGAATTATTCAGAATAGCTTTAACCCTTATATTAATTTAACAAAATATATAATGGGAATCTCCCTTTTGGTGTGTACAATGTGGCAGGCGATAATGGGAGAGTTATTTGCGGAAAGAGAGGCTCGACTTTGGAAACCTATTTGGAATAGAAAGAAACCCAGAATAAGATATAAATATTAAATTTGAGATTATAATTATAGGTGGTAAAGGTTTTACAGTGACTCGGATTGATTTGGACTTGGAATTTGTTAAAAGGAAGGCCATTATGAAATGATTTAGAATTTAATTCTGAAATTTAGTAAGAATAAGTCTTTCTTTTTGTTTTCTTTTCTTCTTTTCTTCTTTTTTTTCTTTTAGAATGATAGATTATTTCCTTTTTTTTGGTTTATCTATGTTTTTTTCTCCTTTGACATAATTTTTTTCTCTTTTCTTTTTCCTTTTTTATATGTTTTTAATATTAGAGGTGAAATAATGAGAAAAGGATTGAAATATTGGAAGAGATGGATTTAATAACTGCAGAATTATTGAAAAAGAATAGAATATAGGTGAGAAATATAAAATTTAGCTTTGGAATTAATATTTTTAAATAAGAGAAAACTTGGGGCACATGAATAGTAAATAAATATGTTAGTTTAAGATCAAATATTTGAAAAAATGAATAAAGCATAAAACAGGATCTTTGGAATAATGAATTTTTATAAACCTTTACTGATTAATGAAATTTATATGTAGCAATATATTTATTGAAAATTTGTTTTTAGAAAGGTTTGTACAGAATAGATATTGAGCTCTTGAAAACTTTTATTGACTAATGGAATTTATGTTTAGACACATTAATGAATGAATTTATTTGAGAAATGTATTGATTTGATTATAATATAAGTTTAAGGGAAAGTTTAAGAAATATTGTGTGCATATTTATAAGGTTATTGCTTTTTTTTCTTTTAATTGACCACCATATCGCCACGTTGATTCTCAAGCTTTGTCGGCGTAAAATGAAAAATAATAAAAATTATTATAAAAAAAAAGAGAGAGAGAGAGGTCCATGCCCCAGAATCTGTAACACCACCATGTCTAAAAATGTCCAACACTTTCATCATGTGCTTTCTGTACTAACATACTTGTGAATAGGTGACAATGCCACTGAGCATAAAAACCATTAAGACTGCATTGCCTGTCATGAGTGCAAAACCAAGGAATTTTGAACTGACAATGCTTATTTTGAACTGAAGAACTATGAAACTTTTCTCATTGTATTTGGCAAAAAAGTTTCACCTTTGTGCAAAAGGCCATAGTTTTGGGACTCCTTGCCTCTTCCTCTTTTCCAGCTCAATCTTTGCTTCCATCTTCCAATGAATCTCAGTTCCTTGTTTTTGTATGAAACAAAAAGCTGACCTTAGTCTGAAACGAGAACTCTTCCCTGTGGTAGGATTACATCTTTCAGTATTCTAGCTACCAAGAATCGACCAGAAAATCTGCACTTTATACTCCACAGAATATGAGATAAGAGAAAGCATCTTCTTAGACCAGGGGTATCAAACTGCTGGCCTGCGGGCCGGTTGCATCTTGTTGAAGCTGTGCACACCCCAGCTCCGGCAATGCAAAAATAGTCACAATACGTCATGACACGTCACGTGATGTTGCGAGTGTCTTAGACCAGTGATGGTGAACCTTTTAGAGACTGAGTGCCCAAACTGCAACCCAAAACCCACTTATATATTGCTGGGTGCCAGGTGGGTGTAGCCTGCTGGGTGGGCGTGGGCAGCTGGGTGTGGCTACGGTGGTCATGGCAGATGGGTGGGCATGGCCAGTTCAATGTTGCTCCTGGGGAGGGACACCTGTGGGGGCCATGCAGAGTTGGGGGAGATCCAGGGCATCTCTGGCGGGTGGGGCGGTGGGCAGGAAGCTCGTCCTGCGGGGCGAGGCGAGGCAGGGTGGGGGTGCCATTGTTTCAGAGCAAGGCGAGGCAGGGGCCGGGGTGGCTGCTGCCTGACACCATTGGCCCCCACACACAGAGGCCTTCAAGTACATGGGTACTGGGATGCATCCGGCCACGTGGGACCTCAGTGACTTAGCAGGCGGCTGGTTGAAGAGGATGGTTGCCATCTCCAGGGCATGGCGCGTGTGTTCACAGAGAGGGCTCTGTGTGCCTCCTCTGGCACATGTGCCATAGGTTCGCCACCACTGTTTTAGACTAAACTACAAAATTCCTATTGAAGAAAAAGGCTAATTTAGGCAATTACAAAATTCCCAGCTGGTGCTAAATGCCTTCATACAGTCAAAGGCAGGGGTCTTCAAACTTGGCCCTTTTATGACTTGTGGACTTTAACTCCCAGAATTCCTCAGCCAGCATGCCTGGCTGAGGAATTCTGGGAGTTGAAGTCCACAAGTTATAAAAGGGCCAAGTTTGAAGACCCCTGGTCAAAGGGCATCAAAGTTGAGGAAGGCTGGGCTTAACCTTGATAGAGAAAACAAGCCAGGATTGATTTGCTGGGGTTCAGGGTTGAGTTTTATGCTAAGCCATGGTTCATTTATAAAACCATGGTTTGATAAACTGCAAACCTGGGTTCATACACATTAAGCCATAGTTTGGTTAGCTGTGATACCAAAAAAGTAATAACTGACTGTTTTTCTACATCATGTTAAACAGTAAATTACAAT